TCGATGATGGTGTTTTTAACTTCAAACTTCTTCCAGTACAATGCAGCCTCTGAAAACCAATAATATAAAACTGAAATATCAGCAAGGGGGAGAGGCACAATGCTCATTTAGCATTGCAATAAGTAAAAAATAGAGGTATACTCTGTAGATTAAGGAGATATATCTATAGAAAATAGATAAAGTGAACTAATATTGCCTGTATTCATTTGTAAGAGTGGAAATGAAGGCCACCCACAGGGTGGCCAGGGATGCTCAGCACCCCAAATCCAGGTCCAGCCATCTCCGGGATGCTTTGCTGGGTGGCCTCATGCTTCAGATGTAGAGCTCAAATCCCGGTCCCAAGGGACTGAGCGTGCGGGTTGCTGCGGCAGGGTGGCAGGACCCGGCCGTGGGGGGGATGCTCAACCCCGAACCCTGCTCCATGCATGGGTTGGGTGAAGGGAAGAATTGGAGACACCCATATTTTTGCCTGGAAAAATGTCATTTTGACATTTCCTTCCTCCACCACCCTGAATGCAGAACGAGCACGACAGGGGGGAGGGGGGGAGCAGCCGCTCCTCTCTCGACAAATACAAAAATATGAATATATTAATATCTAAAGATGTAAAACTAGACATGTATACAAATATGCAGATAGTAAAATATGCAAATATTAAAATGCTGCCTGTAATAGCAATGATGCTACATGCCAGCATGCAATTAAAGGCCAAAATTGCCACCTCCCAGCTAAGGCTCAGGTTGAGAAGCGTTGTCCCCTCGGATGGAGCGGAGGGGACGGGGACATCCCCAGCCCTGCCGGAGCTCTGAAGCAGGAGCCATGCCTTGCACAAGCCTGGGCTCTTCCTGGCAGCCTTTATCTCCTCCCCAGGGCCCGGCTTCGCAGGGCGTTGGCGCTGGAGATGAGGAAGGAGATGGGAGAGGGAAGCGCTGGTGAGGAGCCCTCCCAGGTCGCAGGTCTCCCGCTCCTGGCTTTGAGCAATCCTGACACCCAGGGGCAGGATCCTGTCCCTCCTTGGGTCTGGCACATCATTCCCAGGGCTCCTCCGAGCTGTGGCAATCCTTCATTTCCACTCGTACAAATGAATACAGGCAATATTAGTTCGCTTTATCTATTTTCTATAGATATATCCCCTTAATCTACGGAGTGTACTTCTATTTTTTTTTTTACTGATCACAACGCTAAATGAGCCTTGCGCCTCTCTCTCTCCCTCGCTGAATATTTCAGTTTTGCGTTATTGGTTTCCAGAGGCTGCATCGTCCTGAAAGGGGCTCGAAGTTAAAAGCAGCCACGAGAAGAAAGCAACCCCAAAAAGGAAAATAAAAAATAGAAGGGGCTTTTGAGCAGCAGAGTGCCCTGGGATGAGCTTGGGGTCTGCGCACAGCGGAGTTCTTACGATATCGCCGCGGTCCCTGGCTTGGACCTGGGCTGCATCACCCCCGTCCAGGCAGGCAGGGGGGTTAAACCTCGGCATCGCAGCCGGGACTCCTGCCTGCATCTGCCTGCACATCTCCATTGCGCTGGTGTGGCGGTCACCGCCCTGAGCTGGCGAAGCACCGGCCTTCCCAAAACCAGAGGGATTTTCATCCAAAAGGGGGACAAAGCTCAGCTCCCCCCCCCCCCCAGTCCCCTTTTTTCCCTGCTGCACCCCCAGGTGCCTAAAAATACTGGCAGGGCTCACCAGGCGCCCGCGGGCAGTGCTGGGAGAAGCAGTCCTGGATCCAAAGAGCATCTCCCAGGATCATGCTTTTATAAATGGGCCTTTTGGTGGCAAGAAAGTAATGAATGAGTTTTAAGCATGCCCCTAAATGTTTCGAGACATCCTCTGCAGAATACATTTATTTTAGGTGCCCTCCGCCCTTCCCTGCCCCCGCCCCGGTTTATTTTAACAATGCTGTAATTTTCTATTAGAAAATGGGGTTTATTCCGTTTAACTCCCTGTAGCCCGTTCAGAATTTGCATGCACGGGTGACATTTGTCACCATCAGCTGCTATTTTTAGGCCTGTTATTCCTGAGGACCCCACCCTTGGCTTGGGGAGGGGAAAGGGGGGAGCGCAGGAGGAGGGAGAGGAGGGAGGGGGAGGAAGGAAAACATCAGCCTCAGCACACTTCCAGCCGGTGGCCATCAACCTCCCCGGGGGCATGGGAACCATAAGGTCATTTCTCAGGCTGGCTGAGCTCCGGAGCTGTCAAACCACCCTGCAAGTTAAAAAAATGCAAATATATGCAAATGAATGGGCTGTTTCTCTTCCTTCCCCCCCCCATTTAAATGACATGAATCACCTTCAATTTTGCTAGCATCCTGTAAAGTTATCGGCTTGCTTAAGTGCTTCGGTTAACAGAACCGCATCTCGAGAGGACCAGGAGGGGGAAAGAGGCATCCATTCCCACCGAAGGGAGCTGTGCATCATTTCAGTTTATAATCACATACTCCCTGATCTTCTAATTCCATTTTTTTTCTTGCTTTCTCACTGCCGAGTGAATAAGCCACAAATGAGGGAGGAGGGAGTTGAGCGTCCGGAAAAAAACCTCTATAAAAACAATTGTCAGGGTAGGCTAATATTCTGCTTTTTTTTTTTTTTTTTGATCTTCTGCACTTAGGGTGATCTGGCCATAAAAGATCAAAACCGGATTCGTCAGAAGATGCGTTCCTTCACATAAGGAACTCCTTTACCGCTAAGGCTCCTTCCAAAGAAAAATAAACGAGTAGAAGATAAATACAGCAATAGAAATTTAATTGCTCGTGCTTATTATGAAGGATACAAAGCCCTAAGAAGGAAGTTGTCCCTTCCTCCCCGGCTCAGGGGTTATTTATTATCTTACACTCCGCTTGAAGAACACATCGGATTTACTTTCCTTCATCGGTGATTTTTGAGGAAGGTTTGATACGGAGCCAGTTGGGCTGGTGGAGGAGCGTAGCTAGTTAACATGGTTAAGCAGAGCACACCGTAATGAATCCATTTGTTTCAGACAACAGACGTAATTAGCGTGGAGCTAATGGGCACGCCAGGGGATGAGGGACTGGAGCATCCTCCCTTGGCTGAAAAGGGCTGGAGCTGAGGGGGCTCGGAGGGGTGTAATTCCCGGTTCCTCTCCCCATCTCTGGTCATGGGGAAGTGGCTGGGGGGGGGGGGCCGCCGGGGTGTGCTCCATCTAGCTTGCACCGTCTTCCCAAGGCCTCCGCTCTCCGGCTCCCACCCGGCGAGTGTTCAGCAGTGCTGATTAGGTGTGGGGGAGAGATCTGCAAGGTCTCGGCTGGAGGTTGACCCCACGGGGGAGGAGAAAGGAGACAGCATTCCTCTTCCCACGGGAATGTTTGCCGCAGAGTCTGATCCCCTGTATGGCTCTCCAGCCTCCCCCAAGGGTCACTGGCTTGCTGGCCAAGGTGAAGCAAGGATTTCCCTGGACAACCTCCATCAGAGCAGGCTCTTTCCACCCCTGAGGGCTGGAGGCAGGTGGTAGGGTGAGAGCCAGCCCCTCACCATGAGGTAGACCAGGTCCCCACAGCTGGTGGGAAGGAGGTTTGGAGTCAGCAGCAGCCAGAAACTGAGCAGGGAAGGACACCCAGGACATGGCGATGGATCCCAGGAGAGATGCAGAGGTGGTGGTGGGTAGGATTGGGAACCTGCCAGAGATGCAGAGGGTGGGATTGGGAGCCTGCCTGATGGTCTCAGCCTTGCAAAAGGGGCTGGAGTGGGCCTGCAGTTTTACTTAGGCTCACCCTGGGCTCTCTCAGAGATGAACCGCTTGTGTGGGAACCGAGCGTCTACCTGCAGCGGGACCGCAAGCCGGGGCTCATAGAGGTGTCACTGCATGAACACATGCTCTGTGTCCTGGGGCTTTCCAAAGGGTGGGTGTATTCAGAGTTCTGGCTGTTTGTTTGATGTCTTCTGTGGGTGATGGGATTAACGTACTCCTTGCCTGCTGGAGGAAGTTGCTCTCCTTTTCTGGGATTTCTCATGTGGAAGGGCTGCTGGAGCCCTGTGAAAGAGGAAACATCTTACAGATTAAAAAAAAAGGAAAAAAAAAATAAGTTTTTCCTTTTGGGTGTGGGCTTTTTACTTCCGAATTTCCCTTTGAAGCTGGAGCTGCTCTAGCAGGGGAAGGTGGCTGCCAGATGCACAGGGCATTTGATCCCATGCTAACATGTCCAAACAGGATTAGGAGAGGAGCAGGCTCAGCTCCTGGGTGAAGATAGCAGCCAGCCAGCCACCTCCAGCTGGGCCCTCGCTCCTCGGTTGTCTTTCTCTCAGTGTTTAGGTACGCTGTGACACACAGCTCCTCACTTGCCTCCCCCATTCCCTTGGGAAGGCATCCCTAAGCGGGTTGTCCACAGGCTGAGATGACATGGGATAGCTTCCAGGCGTGAAGGAGGACACAGAACTGGAGACCTCCTGCCCCGTAAGGACTCCTCTCCTGCTTGCAGCAAACAGCCGTGACCAGCCATCCCTCCTACTGGGGACGTCCAGCTGTACCAGTCCCCAAACCCATTGCACACATGAGATGGGCATTCCCTGACTCGTCTTTTTTAAGCAGTGTAGGTGCTGGCACTTGGCAGTGTGGAGCACTACAGCATCACCCCTTCCCTGCATAGCTCCTGGCAGGGCAAATCCGACATGTGCCTGGAAAGATGTTGGCTCTGGAGGATGTGGAAGAAATGTGACGGGGAGCCATTGCACGAGGTTCCTGGGGGAGGGATGTGAAAGAGAAGAGGGAGCTTGTGGTGGTTGTGAAAAGGTGAATAGGGTGGGAGCTGAGAAGAGAAGGATGGAGACAAAGAAGGAGATGAAGAGATGTGGAGGGAAGCAGAGGTTTAATCACAGAGGACCTGGAAGGAGTTAAAGGTGCCGTGGAGACGCACTGGGGCAGAGCAAGCAGGAGATGATTACATAGGTCCAAGTAAGGCAAGGGAGAGGAGGACAGCCAAAGAAGGCAGGGTCATTTTGGCGTTATTGATTGGGAATGCCCTGCTAATGCTCTACTCTCTGTGTTTTGTCCTAGGGCACTAAATGAGAATATGGCCAATGGCATTGAAGATCTTATCGGGATCCCATTCCCAAACCACAGCAGTGAAGTCTTATGTGGTTTAAATGAGCAGCGGCACGATGGTCTCCTCTGCGATGTCATCCTCATTGTACAGGACCAGGAGTACCGGACCCATCGGTCCGTCCTTGCTGCCTGCAGCAAGTACTTCAAAAAACTCTTCACTACCGGCACTTTAACAGACCAGCCCTATGTTTACGAGATTGACTTTGTCAAGCCTGAAGCACTTTCTGCCATCCTCGAGTTTGCCTACACCTCAACCCTCACCATCACCACCTCAAATGTCAAGCACATCCTCAGCGCTGCCAAGATGCTGGAGATCCAGTGCATTATTAATGTATGCCTTGAAATTATGGAGCCCGACAGAGAGGCGGAAGAGGACGATGACAAAGAGGACGAAGATGATGACGAAGATGAAGATGAAGAGGAGGAGGAAGAGGAGGAGGAGGAGGAAGTGGAAGATTTTGTCAATCAGGAGAACCTAACCGATGTCCAAGAAGTAAGCTGTCACCAAAGCCCGTCTAAGTCTGATCTTACTGAAGAAGCATATACAGAAGCACCTAAAGACTTTCCAAATCACTACCCAGCCAATAACTCCTCTGGACACTTGGGTGTGATACGAGACTTCTCCATTGAGTCCTTGCTAAGGGAAAACTTGTACCCTAAGGCAAACATCCCAGAAAGGAGGCCAGCTCTCTCTCCTTTTGCCCCTAGCTTCTTCCCCCATCTATGGAACGGCGATTTTAGCTCCTTCCCCCAGCTCGAGGAGCCACAAGTAGACAACGGCCCCTTGGATCTGGTGATCAAAAAGAGGAAGATCAAGGAAGAGGAGGAGAAGGAAGACCTGCCTCCACCTCCTTTCCCTAATGACTTCTTCAAGGACATGTTTACCAACACCCCAGCAGCTCCCTTAGGGCATATTAAGGCAGAGACTGACTACAGCGCTTATCTCAACTTCCTAAGTGCTACCCAGTTTGGAGGAGTTTTTCCCCCATGGCCCCTGGAGGAAGAGAGGAAGATAAAGCCCAAGGCATCCCAGCAATGTCCCATCTGTAACAAAGTCATCATGGGGGCCGGCAAGCTGCCCAGGCACATGAGGACCCACACGGGAGAGAAGCCGTATATGTGCAATATCTGTGAAGTCCGCTTTACCAGGTGGGCATTGGCTACCTCTGGCCTGCGCGGCCATGAGCGGGGCGGTGGGGGTGGGGGTTGAAGGGGCCACGTCACACCCCATGGATGATTCCTAAGCTACACGTCTCTTTTTCCCCAAAATAAGTAGCAAAGAAAGCAGGGCACGATCTCTGTCCCTTCAGGAAAAAAAAAGGGAGGAAGGGAGGGTGGAGGAAGAAAATGAAGCTACTGATTTTGGTGGGTTGTGGATCACATCCACAGCTCACTGCATCCATCCACTCGCTGGACAAAAGCTTAAATAAGTAACAAGATATTTTCAACCCCACGGTAGCTCACCACAGTTGGACCAGAGGGAGCTGGAAAACAGACGGTCGAAGAGCCAAGGAGGCTTCATCTCTAATGTGCTGGGAGATGCGTTGAGTTGGGAGGGCCATTTAACTGCGGATGTAATTAGTTTGGGTTTGCAGATTTTGGCATCAGTGTAGACCACAACCAAGTTGCACATGTTTAGACATGACAGTGTCTGGGCTTTCCGAGGCTGGAGCCATCCTAATTATCATACGTTACTAGCGAGGTGGGTCTTGGTCTCTTCTCCAAGTAACAAGTGACAGGACGAGGGGAGACGGCCTCAAGTTGTGCCAGGGGAGGTTTAGGTTGGACATCAGGAAAAATTTCTTCCCCACAAGGGCTGTCAGGCACTGGAAGGGGCTGCCCAGGGAAGGGGTCAAGTCCCCATCCCTGGGGGGATTTAACAGCCGGGCAGAGGAGGGGCTCAGGGACAGGGTTTGGGGGTGGGATGGCAGGGGTAGGGGAACAGTTGGGCTTGGTGATCTGAAAGGGCTTTTCCAACCTAAACGATTCTATGATTTATCACCCCAAATGCTGGCCACCCAAGAGCCTGCCACTTCGACTCCCTCCATGGTCAGGGGAAAGAGATCAGCACCCTCAGAGAGGCAGATGAGGACAGGGGATGAGCAGGGGTCATCCCTGACCACGAAGACAACCCATGGGGTTTGGATTAGGGCACCTAACTTTTAGGTATCTCAAGTTAGGTGAGACCAGCCCCAACACGGGCTGCTCCACGGCAGCCGTGACCAGCCACCTCCACCCCTGGTACCAATTCCCAGCCTTTGCACCTCTCTTCACCTCGGCAGACCCCTCGATGGTAATAAATCGGAGCGGGCTACGCAGATCTAACGCTACAGCTTGCAACCCTCTTCTGAAAAGCTGGGCAAATTTAATCGGTGAGCAGAGACAAATAGATTCCTGGACCTGCTCTTGCTGGGTATAATTAATATCTAATGAGTACAATCTTTTCCATAATAATAAAGCTTTCTGACACGAGCATGGTATTTCAGCTTCTGGCTGCGTGTGAGAGAGGGAGCCCTATTAGGCTGGGGCGAGCAAACCAG